TAAAAATAATGTTTAGACAACTTGTCTTTTGTTGTTAAATCAACTTTATGAACTTCATGTAAACCATGTTCATGGACTTTCATTTCCAAGTTAAACCACATTCAAATGTTTTACAGTGTAGTAGTTGTGTGTGTCTCTGTGTTGTCCTGGGATTGGAGTGGAGATCTGTCCAGGGTGTCAGCTGCTTTGATCATGAAAGTAAACAAAATCCCAGAATTCTATTTTTCCAGATTTCTAAAACCATTCAGCCCAATTCCAAGTGCAAGTCATGTAAGAGGAGAAGCTGCCCTTAATGGGCGTGGCTAGGGGGTTTGGTAGCCACAGGCTACTCAGTCTGACCACGGCACCAGCTGTAGTGGGGTTTGACATTTGGATGCTGCGCAGGTAGAAGCTGACAACTTCTCCTCAACACCAGTTTAAACAGAACCCTGTTGACCAGTTGGGACAGGCTCGTCAGGCTCAAGAGGTTTGGACTCTCTGAACGGAGAGCTGCAGCCTGCTTTACTTTAGTGAGGTAAGCTTGATGGCGAAAAACAAGGGTGAACCCCTGTTGCCTCATGACCACTGCAGATAGGCACCAGCCAATCATAGTCCTGCAGGGATAAGTATCGTAGATAATGGATGGCTAGTTTCATTTCGTTGCACTGAGAACAAAAATGTCTCCGATTGTAAAGGTTGTAGACTCAGATATAATCCTATAATGCTTGTGGACTTGTGCCATCTATCACTTCATTAGTTAAGTTTAAGTCATTCATGGATTATCTTTTAAACATAAAAAAACTGAACCAAACCCATTAAAACAATGAATTTTCAGGGGGTGTGAAAACGTTTTTCCAGTGCCACAGAAATTAAAGACATCTTACGAACATTATATTTTTTTAAATCAATTGAAAATTTCTACATTTCTGTGTATAGTGTACTTTCTAATATTGTTGCTGATGTTATCTGGAGTTGAGGTTGTCAGTGATGTTTAGCAGTGGTGTGATGTGGGGTTTCAGTCAGGACCTTCAATAGACTCAACTACACCTGAACAATACACAAGTATTGAATAATACCCTGTGTATTGTTCAGGGTTAGGGTTACCCTAACATCAAACCAGTGTGCAGGACAATGCTCAACTGAGCAAATTAAAAAGGCACAACAAAAACTCAGTTGTGCAGGACAATGCAAAGACTATACACCACACCAAGCCACAGGCATCCAATAATATGCAAATAAATAAAATATGTCAAGTAAAATGCAGCCCAACAATGCATATCAGGCATCAATGTATATTTTAACAAAAATACACAGAAAACAGCGCATATAATTGAACAGCAAGCAAATTAGCAAAACTTTTCCATGTTTCCCAGTTAAGCTCAACATAAGTCCAAACTGCTCAAATAGCACATGTGAACAATCAAAAGAAAAAAATTCAGTAAAGTCTGTATAAGAATGTAATAGAAAAGTAAAACTCACCATTAGTTGTAAATAAAATCCATGCAAAAGCTTGTTGTGCTCAGCGCTAGCTGTTAGCCACTTGTAGCACTCACGGCTACAGTCTTTAAAATGCCTTACAAAGTTCTTACTGGTCTGTGGGTTTTCCATTATTTATTTGAATATTTTTATTGGATTTTCAGCAAAATAAATCCCCTACCAATACATTCACATCCAACCTCAAATCCACAAAACTGATGCATAAATATAGAAACAAAGCAAGCAAAAAAAAACAAAAAAAACAAAAACAAAAACAAAACACAAATCGTAGTTGACTTTATGCTGAGTTGTCTCTCAATATGGCACAAGAATGGTTGCCATATTTTGTAAAAATGTGTTGGCAAAACCGTCCACAACATGTCTCTGTTGTTCAACTTTGAGGTTTGAGAGCAAGCCTGCAATCCATCGTTTGTGGGAAAGAGGCGTCTCTCGACGGGGAATCAATGTGGAAAAGGCTACAGCTAAAACAGATGGACACACAGTGTACCAGAGGAAAAACCCCAAACATTACTGTGAGAAACTCAGACAGGGTCTTAAAGACAGCTCTCTTCAGAAGCCCTGCAATCTTTGACATTCCCAGAACGTATGGCCTAGTGTGCCTTCTCGGGTAAGCCTTGTCCGACCCTGGAAACAACTTTGCAAGTTTACTGTTTGGATCAGCCTAGTTCCCTGCTGCCACTATGACACCGTTATTCTCACTCCCATCTCCAGCTGCCGCTGTTCTTTAATTTTCTCTAATGAGGGCGCTGCAGCTGCATGGATTAATCAATACAATGTTGATATGATCCCTCTCTGTATGGGATCTACCGTCCAGGCATTCATTAATCCAACTGTATGCTGGAGTCTGAAGTGTTGATGAGAAGTATTTTTTAACAAAGCTCAGCAGCTGCAAATATCTAAAAAAGTTGGAAGAAGGTAGGCTAGATGATTGCTGCAGCTGTTGGAAAGACATAAAATGACCATTCCTGAACAGGTCTCTCACAGTAGTTATACTTTATTTGCCCAGGCAATTTAAAGTGGAATCAATTAAAAAAGTGGGAACAAGGCATTTGCTGATATAGGAGCTGCCAGGAGACCCTGTTTTTGCTTGAAATGGATCCTAAGTTGTTCCAGATCTAAATCACTCCCAGTGTAACCGTGTTAATTGTAATCAGTCATTTATCTAGTGGCAGTGGCGAGCAAAAAACTGAGGCGAGTGAACCAGATTTACAAGAGTTTTGTTCCATAAGTGACCAAACAGGGCTGTTTCATTTTCCCCAGGCTTAAACTAGAAAGAAAGTTTACAGATATTAGCAGCCCAGTAAAAGTGTGTTTAATTAGGCAGAGCCACACCTCTCTCCTTCTCTGGCCTCTCCAAAAACTTGTGTGAAAACTTTTTCAAGGTTGGATTTTTAGCCCTCCAAGGGTCAGCCACCCCGTATGTCTGCATAAACAAGTTAATGCATTGAGCTCATTTGGCCAGTGCTCTGTATGGGATTCGAGAAATCGATTACATTATGCGAGTCCAAAATTGGGAGAAGTGCAAAAAAGTTTTTAGAGAATTGCATACTGTCCCAATTTGGAACATAAATGTTGGCAAGGACAACAGGGATTTCAAATAGATTACCTTCTACAATAATGAAGTGACCATTCCTATCTCTGATAGTGGAAGTTTCCTCAGAAAGAACATCCCTGTGTGGATGGGAACCTCCCACCCACTGGCATTAAATTAGTGATACACTTGAGTGAAACCAGCCCTTTTCAGCCTGTTATGATTCTTGTTTAACAGATGTGTTTCTGTTAAACAATGACTTCATGGTTGGCTGTGACACAACCATTAAGTTGTGTCACAGCTATTTTGATCTTCACCTTATGCATCAGGGTTTCCCCCAGAAAACTTGCTAAGCCCAGTGATCGAGGTGCCGAGGCGGTCCACCGTGTTTGTATTAAAAGATGTTAAGTAGACAGGAAATGTGAAAATATTACTGGGTAATTATATGTTACTGGAAAACATCACCAGTGAAATGTTGTTTAAACCCACAACTAGTCTTAAAAACAACAAATCAAAAAATACAATTAAAATGAATATCAATTATTTGCACTTCTGTTTAATACAAATTAAGTCAGCGGCTCCATGAGGTTCCCCAGAGCTACAAGGGCCCATAAATGCTGATATTTTAACACAGACTACAGATACATAAATGCAACATTTGTTGCATTTAACCCAGTGTTGGGCCTGAAGGAGCAACACTGTCATTGTGGAGGCCCCTCTATGCTACACGCAGTCATGTCAATAACGCGTTACTATGTAATGAATTACTGACATTGAACCACTTTTTTCAGTTACGAGTAATCTAACGTGTTGCTATTTCAAATCCAGTAGTCAGACTACAGTTACTTATCGAAATCACTTTGCATTACTATCTTCTTTTGGAATTTCATTTTATTTCCTCTACGCGTCTTTTATTCCCTCTATCGCCGTTTTTACGCGACAGTATCAGCAGCGACAGAAATGTAAATAATGGAGGGAGATGAGCATTTTGTTGGTGGAAAAACAGGAACTTTTTTGAGTTTCTGTTTCCAAGTCCGATTATTATAAGCAGCTTTCCACTTGGTTTTTCTAAAATCACTTGCAGATTGAATGAGTCACGGGTTGCTGTTTTTGGGCTTGGAAATAAGCAGACAGACCCCAGAAGTTGTCTGACATCCAGTTAGTTTTAGTCAGACTCTCCTTGTCCATCATTTCCCAGATGATCCGTCCTGCTGTGTCTTTGTTAATGTTAATATATAACTTCTGAATGATGTTGAGCTTCGCGTTGCGCTCCAGAAAACTGGAACCATCGAGACTATTAAGAACAGCGCAATAAACGTGAAAACAGCCACGAATGAACGTGTTCGTAAAATTGTGCAACTTAAAGCCATTATAATTATTAAGATAAGTGTCACAAATCTGTGCAGCGGGACATCTGAGTTGTGGAGCGGCAGCAGGAGCTCCGACACCAAACGCAAAGCCGTAACCTGGAGGCTGGGGTGGGGGCTGGGGGGTAAAATCCTGTTTATAGTTTTCCAGACAATACTGGAACACACAAATAACTAAAGATTTTTTTGTACTGTTGTAACCATGAAACAATCTCCCCTTCAGTTCAACCATATAAGTGGAGACACATTGTTGATGTTACCATTATAAAATAACTTGTAATTAAGTATTGGCAAAGATCAATGTAATATTCACAGGTGGTGGAGCGTTGTTGTTAGCAGCTGCTTAAAGTAACTAAAAAAAGACACTTTTAATGTAACTTAGTTATTTTCCAAATCAAGTAATCAGTAATCTAAGTTACTTTTTCAAAGAGTAATCAGTAATCCGATTAAAGATACTTTTTCAAAGCAACTATGCCATCACTGGCTACACGTGATGCAATACAAATCAAATCAGTCAGTGCTGACGTTAAATAAAAACTCCAAATAATAAAATACAAGCAGAGATCAGCGAGGATAAATCACAACTAGCCTGACATGAAACCATGGCGACAAGTCAACAGTCTGACCTCTTTGAGCCGATGTTCTTTCTCTGCTACTATGTGCTGAATCATCATAGCTACGGAATATACCCAGGATATCACCATGCAGAGGGGCATCATGTGCTCAATCACAAACAGGAAACTAGAGGGAACAGAAAGGAGACAACCATTAGACCACACTTCATTGCAAATGCAGAGTTTTCATTTCATAAGAGCAAAACTAAAAAGTTTCAAAAACTATGGAAGAATTTTACTGCCGAGAGCACACATTTTCAGTCTGGAAGCAGGAGTTCATGGCTTTCTTCTCAAAACTTATAATGCTTCTAGTGAGAATGTCTGCTCTCTTTCAAATATTTATTGTGATTTCTCAAATCACTCTCGCACTCAAAACTTGTCTCTGTTTGGATCAAATCTCCGCTCGCAAACATCTCTGCTCACTTGCAAATTCTTTTCTGCTCTCTCAAAGCAAAAAGTACCATCACCTGGCGACCTCTCAGCCAATGGAATGAAAGCAAGTACACCTCACTGCAGCAAACAGAAAAGGGCAAGAACGGACCACTGGCAGACTCATACCTTATTTGGAAATCCGGAATTGAAGGGGGCGCTATTTCCTATATTATCCATGGTCTCCTGTTTTTATTTTCTTTTGAAATCTGTGACATATCTTTATTTTTAGGAAGGAGTTTCACTCTCGGCATGTATTTAAACTTGTCTCTTTAAATACATGCTGTCTCTTTCTGTGTACTTCTAAATCTGCTCCTTAGTTGCATCTTTAGGGTCTACTACTGCCTCTATTGGTGTGGGGGTGGTAACACAACTAAAATAACTACAGTATATTACTAAATTAGAATAGCACAGTCTTCATCATTTACTATTAATTCCAGCATTATTGGCACCGTAAAAAATAAATTCTCTACTAAAAGACCATAATTTTTTAGTTTCTTGATCATGTAGAGCTAATAAAATGACATAAACAAGACCTTTGTATATTACAAACAATCAATTATAAGAGGAATAAAAGAAATAAGGAGACATGAAAAGCAACATGATCAACTATGATAAAAATACTATTTACAATGTGTACATAAGAAAGTTAATTGAGCAAAAGTCAATAACGAACAAATGAATTAGGTTCACAGAAAAAAAAAAACAAATCTGGTTGTTACAACCAGGGTTGTTGAACAGATACAAGGAAAAATTCACATTTTTGCTTTTATGGTGCCATATTAGTCTGAGAGAATTTTTGTTGGTAGAGTCTTATACATAGTAAAAAAAATAATATGAAACACTATTTAATCTATCATGGTGGAAATTTTCCTTAGACTCCAAAACAATAAAATAAAACACATTCATAGAATTACAATATCAACAATTTGTGCATCCAGTAAAACACTTCGCATGCTATAGGTAAATGTTATCATTTAGTTTGGTAAAAAATAATTATTGCATTGTCAATAAATTACTTCTAATCGATGTTCTATACCAGAGGGAAACAGTAACACCTTTGTTTTTTGTTTCTTTTTAGGATGTAGAACTCAGAGGTTCAAACTGATGAAAAACAATGGATGCTCTCTGCTAAAAT